GCGTGGCAGAGTCACTGATGCTTACACAGGCCTAACCTGAGAGATACAAGAGGCTTTTGTAGATGTTAGCTGGAGCTAGCTTGTGCTGGAAGCAAAGCAGCTTGTTTTCCTTTGATGAACACAGCGAGTTCCTCCGAGGCCACTACCTTATTCAACCATTTCTGCAATTCTTCACCTTCTACTTTCTCTTCCTCTGAAACCATTTACATGTTTTCAAGAAACATTGAAAACAGAGTCAACTAGTTGAAACTACGATATAAGCCATCAACATGTGATTCCAATGACAATGTTATTCGATTGGTTCTGATACCGATTTGAATGAAACTAGTCGTTTTACTTGGTCACATGAGGATATAAAGGTTTTAGTGTTTTTGTTTCACTGGAGTAAATGAAGTATTAGTGTCCAGATATGTAATGTGTTACCTTCAAGTTGAGCACCGAGCCCTTCTAATACATCTGGATTAGCACGAACAACAGTCAATGCGACATCCAGAGCAGATTGCAACAAATTTGTGACCTCTCTTTGAACAAGATCAACTAGATGCCCCTGTGAATTAAACATGAAATTTTAACGTTGCATTCCATTTTAAAGGGACATTCTAGAGGCCTAGGCAGAATAAAGTTACCTGATCTCTTCCCCATGGTGAGCTCCCAGAGTCGTCAATCCCACCAGCAGAAAGTGTAGCTATAGAGACGGGTCCGATTTTCTGGTTGAGACCATATTCAGCTACTGCCTTGTAGGCCATGTCGGTTGCTCTCCTGATATCATCAAGTGCACCTGTCGATATACGCCCAGAGTAAACAACCTCTTCAGCTGCACGACCTCCAAGAAGTGTTACCAAGCGGCCATGTAGTTCATCAATGAAAAGCAAATATCTGTCTTCATGTGTTGGAGGAATGTATGTAAAGCCCAGTGCCCCTCCTGATCTTGGCAATATGCTTAATTTCTAACAGCACAACACAACACGAATTAGCAGAGCATTAACACATGTACATATGAGTAGTAGGCCTATCCTAGAAGCGGTTCTCATTGTTTTACCTCAACACGGGACTGTCCAGGAAGAAGATTTGCAACAGCTGTCCCAACAACAGCATGCCCAGCTTCATGCCTTGCAACCACACCCTTTTCACTGCCTTTTAACCTTGCGGTTTTCTTCTCTATACCCTGCAACAACAAATTTAATTTTGAGGAAAAAAGTTTGGCAAACTGTCTCATGTATTCAGTAGACTTAGAAAGAATAAGAAGAAGATACCGCTATCGATCGCTCCACAGCCTGAATGAAGTCAATTTTGTCAACCGTCATCTTGCTCTTCCTTCCAGCTAGCAAAGCAGCCTCATTAACTAGGTTTGCAAGGTCTGCCCTATAAATACCAAACATAAAAGTTGACGACATATATAGGTTAACATCAAGCAGATTCTTTCGGGGTCAACAAAAAATACAAAATGTTTACCCAGTAAAACCGGTTGTCATCGTGGCAATGCTACCTAGGTTAACATCATCTCCCAAAGGAAGCTCTTTCTTTGAAACATGTACTTTCAAAATGGATTCTCTTCCAACTTTGTCAGGCGTTTCAACCTGAAGCAAGTTTCAGATAGCTTTGTTAAAGTCTTTAAACTGCCTGATCATGCTAAATAGACAAAGCCAGACCATTTTACAAACCATAACAACGCGATCAAACCTCCCTGGCCGACGCAGGGCAGGGTCTAAAACATCAGCCCGATTTGTAGCTCCAAGAACGATAACTGCAGAGCTACTGTCAAAACCATCCATCTCCTGTAAACCAGTACCCCACACATAACTAGATCATGCAAAGATCCAGAAAGCAACTTTGTTAGGAAAAAGTGCATGATTTCGAACTTACAGTGAGCAACTGATTCAAGGTTTGTTCCCTTTCATCGTTACTGACCATTCTGAATTTACCATCACGGCTTTTTGCAACAGCATCTATCTGGAAAATGAAATGGAAACAGATAAATTTGCTGAGATTTTAAACTAGAGAGAAAGTGCAAGCGGTAATTGACCACGTATTCATACCTCATCTATAAATATAATTGACGGAGCCTCCTTCTTGGCCCGTGCAAAAAGATCCCTCACACGTGAAGCACCCATGCCAACATACAGCTCTACAAACTCACTTGCAGAGCAACTTATGAAGGGGACGTCAGATTCCCCAGCAACAGCCTTTGCAAGAAGAGTTTTCCCTGTTCCGGGAAGACCAACCTACCAAAAAGGGATATAAAGCTATATATATTCTAAAGATAGTCCATAAACTCAACCTAAGAAATGGTCAAAGTGGTAACTACATGATTTTAACTCACCAATAGGACACCACGAGGGGGGCGAGCCCCAAGACGGACATACTTATCAGGATTCTTGAGGAATTCCTGCAACAGTTAAGCCAAGTGTAGAAGAAATTAACAAGATCATGAACAAAGCTATTACAGAAAGATTTGACAATTCATTTCAGTACAGTGCAGCATGTTAAAGGTCAGAAAAACCTACCACGATCTCTTCCAGCTCTTCCTTTGCTTCATCAACACCTGCAACATCTGCAAAAGTGATTGTTTCACCTCCACCAGAAACTTTTCCCCCACCAGGACCACCAGACTTGCGGGTCCTAAGCTGGCCCGTTGTACTCTGTGCATACCTCATAGCTTTTAAGGAAACTGCCCATGGCCTTAATTTAAACAACCACATTTACGGTATCATGAATGTGCAAACCTGGGAAAAGCTAACAGGGAATTTGTGGAGAAGCCCTGCAAGCACCGCGATGTAGAACAGAACTATCTG